CCTATAAAAGAAGGGGTCATAATCCTCACCCTTGCCCACTATACAGCGCCCCGGGGGCAGAATGGTTACGGATTGCACCGCTAACCTCAAGGGAGAAAGACAAGACTTTCTAGTCCCATCAAGAGTTAAGGGCTATGGGAAGGAGACGAGACAGTCAGGGTGCAGTGTAGCAATGATGAAATATGCAATTTTCCTCTAGTTCTTGAATGCTTCCTCCCCACCCCCACCCCCAGCCCCCACTATCATGATCCCAATTCTACCTTACAAATCCGGCTGGTCCGGACGATGTACACTGGTGCAGATAGGAACTGGAAACACAGGGAATCCAGGACAGAAGATTCCCCTCAAGACCAGTAGTGAGAATGGTGATACTGGGAGGGTGGAAGGAAGGTGAGGGAGAAAGGTGGAACAGATTACAAGGATCTACATATAACCTCCTCCCTGGGGGAAGGACAGCGAAGAAGTGGGTGATGGGGGACGTCGGATGGTGTAACACATGACAAAATAATAATAATTTACAAATTATCGAGGGTTCGTGGGGGAGCGGGGAGGGATGGGATAAAATGAGGAGCGGATACCAGGGGCTCGAGTAGAAAGCAAATCTTTTGAGAATGATGAGGGAAACAAATGTACAGGAGTGCCTGACACATGGATATATGTGTGGAATGTGATGAGTTGTACGAGCCCCCAATAAAATGATTTAATATAACAAACCAAAAAAAGGGAAATATATACTTACCTCCTCATAATAGCCAAGCCCTCAAAGCCCTCACTGGGCTGTAATAGGAGTATGAGTGACTCATATTACAGGCTATCCCTGGGTTTGAACAAGATATGTTCCTAACGGTGCTGGCAGGAATTTATAGAGAAGTCTGAACAGGTTCATAAGCTTCTTATTTAGCCTTAACTGAAAGATCAGCAGTTCAAAACCACCAGCAGATCCTCAGGAGAATGAGGAGGCTTTCCCCTCCAGTAAACAGCTGCCGTCTCGGAAACGGAAACGCACAGGGGCAGGTCCACCCTGACCCATCGGGTTGCTAAGGGTTGGAAGTGAGTTTGATTTGGAGTTTGAGTCTGGTTTGGGGTTTTAGTGCAAGAAGGCTCGAAGCTTTTTCAATGATTTAAAAACTGCAAGTGCAGCGGGCAAAGGTGACAGTAATGAAGAATTTGTTGGGAATAGTGGTTCAATATTTTCAAAATGAGGGCTAATTTACGTAACACTAAAGGGCAAGTAGGAGTTATCTTTCATTCAGGCATCCATAACCCAGTGACTACCTGTAATTTAATTGTGACATTAACTTTCAAGATCATGGATATAAAAAGGCCAAACATAATTATTGGTCCAGCACCTCATTTTTGAAATCATTAGTTATGGTGAGAGCCTCTGATTGGACATACATGGGATTAGTTTAACTCATTTAAGGACTCGCAATAATGTGAGATCTGTTTAAGGGTCCCCACACACATGAAGCCTCTGAGCCCAGCCCAGGGTCATTAAGAGCCTTTCTATCACACAGAGAGCGCTGTGAACTTGACGATGGCAGATGAACTTGGGTTAAAACATAACACCTTTATCAGTTGGTGTCCTTGTGGAGTTATTTTAACATTTCTGTTTTTAATAATTCCTGCTTTCTTTTCAGTAGAGCTTTTACTCTGTTTGGTCATGGTTGTTGTTTTTGTTTGTCTGTTTCTTGTCTTGTATTATTTTTCGGTCTATGAAATCCAGGATAGGTAAATATATAAGGCAGTAACTGGATTAAAGGATTCTTGGGGATAGGGCAGCGAAGGTCGGCAGGGGCGGGGAGGAGAATAGAGAGCTAATAATGAGGAGGAGAAAGAAGAAAATGTTCTGAAAAGATTTCACCATTTAAACATGACTGAACTATTAAACTGCATGACATGGGAACAAAATGCCAATAAAACTATTTTTAAAAAGCAGCAGCAGCAAAAGGGGCCTTCTGGGACGTGCTGGATTCTTCTACAGATGGGCCGGGGACGGCAATGCCTCTGGTTAGTCTTCAGAATCAGGACTGTGTGCTTACCTTCCAGGTGGAGCCACATGAGCCTCCCCTTGACGTTGACCACGGAGGCCACGCAGAGTTCTCCGGGATTCCGGGGATTCACAGCTTCTAGTTTCATGTTCTTTGTGAAACCCCGGCTGAACGATGTCTGCAAGAGAAACAGGAGCAACCCTGAGCCAGGGGATCTCACACCGTAATGGTCTGCAGTCCGAGGGCTGGCCAGATGAGGAAGCAGAAACGCACACCACACGCGCACACACACACACACCCACGCATGCTCACATTTATTATTTATAGAACCTAGAGGCCTTGCTACATGTTTGTTTTCTCACTCTGCATGAGGAATAGTGAGAATGAGCCTTCCTTCCAACCAACCTATCTACCTGCCTACTGCTGTCAAACCAATTTCAACTCCTATGCATACCTCAAAACATAGAGCTATGGCTAGCATATACAGTAAGTGCCTAATAATATGTATTACATGAGCAAATTAATCTATGAATGAATGCAAGGTCTCTCTGTTCACTTACTTCCATTTGCATTTTCCCTTACACGAAGTGACCAAAGGACAAGTCATTTCTTCTACTTTCCTGCATTGGAGGACAGATTGGAGGGGATTGAGGCAGGCAGATGCACGTTTCCATCTGTCTTCATTTCACCTTACTCTGAAAACTGTTCTTAGCATTTCTTACAGGGTTGCCTGCTTGGTGATAAATGTTCTTATTTTACATTTTGGTTTTACTTCCTTCTTGACTCATGTTTTAAATGTATAAAGTATACAGTTCCCTCTTTGGGAGTCCACTTCTACGAAGTCAGGCCCATTGAACAAACGCATGCAGTAGAATAGCAGACGGTCCTGTACTCGTAAGCACAGTCAAGTACCTAGCAGTTCCTTCACCCTGAAAAATATATCGACAAGGGTCCTAGACAAGGATCCAGTTCCTTCCTGAACCCCACACCCCACCAAACCCTGATGTTTTGTTTATTGGTTGGTTTGCTGGTTTTTTCCAAGGATTGTCCTTCCTATGATGACACGTAAGTGGAATCATACAACATGCACCTTTCAGTCTGGCTTCTGTTGCTGAGCATTACATGCGCATTGTATAGGTAGTTTGCTCCATTTTATGGCTGAGTAAAGTAGGGTTCTAGTAAGCAGATGTACCACAGTTTGTCTATCCACTTATCAGTTCAAAATTTGAGTTGTTTCCAGTTTAAACGATCGTTAAAGCCACTGTTAACATTGAAGTGCAAATTTGTGTGACCCTAGATTTTAGTTTCCCTTGCTATGAGACTGGCGAATCATATGGCAAGTGTGTGTTTAACTTTATTGATAGATTCTTTTCCAAAGTGGTGATACCATTTTGAATTTCCAACAGGGCTTGATGAGAGTGCCAGGTGTTACATTCTCTCCGGCATTTAGTGTTGTCGGTAATTTTTATTTTAGCAAATATTAACAGGTATGTAGTATTCTCTTGTCATGGGTTCACTCTGCATTTTCTCTAATGACAGTGTATTGAGCATTTTTTCATATATTTGTCATCTTTGTATCTTCTTTACTGAAGGGTCTGCTTTCCAGATTGTCACATTTATGTTTGGTATTCGATAATTTGATTATACTGAGTTTGTATTTATGTTGCCTGGGGGTTCAATGAGATTCCTGAATGTGTCTTTCAGCTACTTTGGGTACCATTATCTCGTTATAGATATTTCTTTCTGCCACAGTCTCTCTTGTTAAATCTTCTGAGTTTCCAACACACACCGATCCCAGGGGCTCTGTTCATCACTCCCCCACCTATCTCTTTCTGTTCCTCGGACCGCACCATCTCAACTGACACATCATTGACACTTTACACTCTCATCTCCACTCTACTATTACGCCCTTCCAGCTTGTTTCAAATGCTGTATGAGGGGGCTTCACACAAATCGCCTGGCGAGTCTTTTAGAAACAGACCAGCCGGGTCTGTGGGTCCGCTGGGTCTCTATGGAGGATCGTTGCTGGGTCACGAATGGGTGGCCTCGTCCTTTCTCTTCGAATGCTTCCAAGTACTGGAGGCAATCCAGAGCTTCTCATGCTCTTGTGGGGAGTCTGCATTCTGCCCTAGTCCTCCCACGAGATGTTAGGCTTCTGTTTTTAACAAGACATGAACTGGGTTGAACTCAAAATACAAATAACTTAATCTCAGCGTAGTTACAGTGTCCTCAGCTTGACACAGGCTCCCTGCTCTAGCCAGGCAGTTTCCCCCGACTTCCCAATAGCTGTGGTTGCCAGAATGGCCATTTGATTCCCTGCAACTATCAAGTTACAATCTTGGAAACTAAGAAGGGGCAGTTCTCGTACAGCAACTCTATAGAGTTGCTACGTGTAGGCAACAACTCAATGGCAGTGAGTTTGTTGTTGTTGTTGTTGTGTGTGTGTGTGTGTGTGTGTGTGTATCTGTTCAGCAAATCACTGTTTTGGCCCTCACGGAGAAAGAGAGAGAGAATAAAATTCAGCCAATCACTGTTTGGGCTACCCTGTGTTTTCATATCTGGCTACCCTAAGGTGAAAACACTGAAAAATAAACAAACCAACAAACAACAACAAAACAGGCTTCCAAGCATCTGCTCCCTCAGAATCTGCCTGCCTTTACTCATTATCCAGTGCTCTCCAACAGTTGTGTTTAGTATTTTATCTCACCTTTGCAGTTCCTACCTACGGTGAGATCAGTTTAGTGCATGCTTACAAAGCTACCACTAGAAGCAAGCCTCCAATATTATTTTAAGATTTGTTTTCACAGATACCAACTACCATAAATTATAATCAGGCAAGTTATTACATTATACAAAGGTACAGTTGAAAACACTGCACAATTACATGTATAGATAGAAAATACATCTGTCTTGTATCAATACGTAAATTGAGATAAACACGTTCCTCTAAATCTCTGAGGAGTCCTGGTGGTTCCAGCTTCGCACTGGACACCCACCAGCCACTCCACAGGAGAACAATGTGGCTGTCTGCGTGTAAAGATTCCCAAACCCCAAACGCACTGCCATCGGGTCCATCTGATGACCCCTAGCTAAATGATAAGCCAAGCCAGGGCTGCCCCTGTGCGAGTCAAGAACTGCCACTATTTGCAGCAGACAGCCTCATCTTTCTGCTGCGCTGGTGGTTGGAGGTTTGGAACTGCTGACCTTGAGTTTGGCAGCCCAATTGGGCTACACTTCGTAGAGATTCAAGTCTTGGAAATCCAAAGGGGGCATTTCTACTCTGTCCTACACAGTTGCTATGAATCAGAATCGACTCAATGTCAGTGGTTAATTAGTAACTGAGACTGCAATCTTTGTGTAAAAGTCATAGAAAGATATTAACGCTCTACACATTTACGTGTCTTTCGATATAGGTGGGAAATTGCAATTTTGACTTTATGTAACCAGAACACAATTATCCAATATAAGTTAAGAAATCCATTTCCTCCTTTCCTTCCTGTTCCTTTGGAAACAGCAATCAAGACAGTGTGTAAGGAGGGTTATTTTTCTGCAAGTCATCTTGCCTCATCCACACATATTATGTATTGAGCTCCTTTCTGATAAAACAACTCGATAGGCTGCCTGAAAACCTCTAAGTGAGTTAAAGTGCATTTTATCCTACTTAATCAGGGAAGGCTACAACCACATAACCTATTTTCGTCTCAGCTCACTGCTTGAGGGCAATTTATAAAGGATCAATAGCAAAACTGTTACTGTGAGTTGATTTTACTAAGCATTTGGCTCTGTCAATCCTTTTCATAAATGCCTTTGATAGTTAAACATCCCTGGGGGAATGTCAGCCAGGCATCCATTTCCACACTAGCTCTCCCCTGCTACACAGGAGATGTGTGATTAAAAAAGGAATTCATAATAAGCATTCCATTAAAGAACACTTGTAGCAAACTAACAAATTCAGTGAAGGACCAGTAATGCAATGCATATGCCAATGGGCAGATAACAATCCTGTCTATTAAATAAACGGAGAGCCAGAAACAAAAGTGGGCACACGCATAACAAAATGCACGCGTAATGAATACACCAGCAAATTCATTAAAGCACCCTCGATCTCGCTAGCTGTATCCTGCAAGCTCAGAGGCTACCTGGGATGCGGCCGCTCGCTTCTGTATTAAAAATGCATTTGGACAACTGCTGGGTGAATGCGAGCTAAAAACAAAACTCTGCAGTAGAGCGCTGTTTGGCACTGAAGAAATAGCTCGCTCTCTAAATACAAAATGAGGAGGAGATGTGAGGATTGGTCTGCCCAGGGCTAGAGAGTTAAGCAAGAGACATTACTGCTGTCAGGTGGGAAAGCACAAGCACCCCAAACGGACTTGGGGTGCGACAGTGTCTGTGCTCCCAAAGAAGTTGCTGAGGTCAATAGACTCTGGGGCAGCAAGGTCCGTATGTGAGCTGTCCAGTAAGAAGCCACTGCACTGATCCTCTCTAGGAGCGGGCCAGCCAATATCCTCACGATGGCACGTTCCACAGCTGTCCCCACAACCACCTGCACATGCTCCACACAGTTCTTCAATGTGACAGAAAGGCTCTTGCGGAAAGGCAAAGCCATCCAATGGAAAGTTCATGGAATCATTGGAAGGGCCCTGAATTTCCAACTCCCCCACCGGGTTGCTTCTATCTTCATTACTATATTTATTACAAATTGGCCTAATAATCACCCGACTTCATTTTCCCCAAACCGATCTTGACCTGTGCTCCGTAGGGAGTTTCTCTCTCCTAGGCTCGGAATTCTCATATTCTGCTCTCCTGTAGTACACACTATGGGCTGGGGGCCAAGGAATCCACAACCCTTGGAGCACATGTCTAGAAAACAAGTCTTTGGTCTGGAAACACTTTACATTGTTGTAACTATAGGCTCTAATTAGAGAACTGCATTTTTTTCATCCCATAAGGAATTCATTTTCATAGTGCAATAAACTAAGCTAATATTACCCCACTTTCTCCAAACGGGGATCATAATTTATATCCCTTTCTCATAGTTCCTAAGCATGATGACGTTTGGAGGAATAATTGTACAAAGTGATTGACAGAACCACTGCTTATAACTGCAAGCACAAGGGTGTACGGGCACCACACACACTGCTGTTTTATGTATCACGAAGATCCCATTATTATACCAATAAGCTCTATGTGAACAAAGGTGTCAGTGAAAGAGAGGAAGACCCTCAATGAGATGGACTGACGCAGAGGCTACACCAACGGGCTCACACACAGAGATGAAGGTGAGGGTGGCATAGGACCAGCCAGGGTCATTGTGTTGCATAGAGGATTGTTAGGATGGCACCTGACAACAACAACAAGTAGCTTAAAGTAATCAACAGACTAAAGTATTTGGCTACCAACTTATAAAACACCTCGAGGGGGAAAAAAAAACCACTAATATAGTTTAAGAATAGACCTCCGGAGCAGAGACTATTATCACTGGGCTTACCACTATTGTATTAAATGGCAAATGCAGACATCACGGAGGCCCTTGATGGCTAGTTCTCCAACTATGTTGGTCCTCGTTCTTGAACAGTCTGGAGCAGCAGCAGTTGTCTGGCCCCGATCCATGCTCTAGCCTCAGAGTGACTGGTACTCACCAATGAGATGCTACCATTTTTAGAATTAGGGATACTTTCTTCCTGATCTCTTTTCCTACCTGCTAGCTAGATTCCGATGATGAATACGAATACAGAGAAACAAATGAACTGTGGGAAACTAACACCGAGGGAAATATGACGAGGACTGTATTCCCTAACTTATCACAGGGAATCTGGAAAGCTGGTATTCCATGGTAGGAGAGCCTCCATCTTGGTAAGTTAGAGGTAAAGTTCAAGTACATTATCCTGCTTTACAAATCACTCCCACAGATTCTCCCCTTAACAGTTACGCTGCCTTAAAGTGAGCACATGGTTGAGTACATCTCCCTATTGAAGCAGACATGATCCTTTGCTCTCTCTTCCGGCCCAGACACCAACCCCCCTTGGCCCTTCCCCCAATGCTGGTATTAGGTTTCTTCACCTGTGAGCTCAGGGACCTTAATGTAGATACCACCCACCTTGTGACACATGTAACTACTAACCATGCATGTCTTAAGGCTACCTATAGTGTCCCAAAATAGTAAAGACTCTTTCTCACTTCTCCCACTTCCACGTGGTCCATCAAGAGGAGCTGAGGTGAGCATGCTACCATAAAATGTGTCTGACTCCTTTATTTTAATCTCTCTCCTATCTTTCTTATCCTCTATTACTTTACAATAATCTTTATATATTATCTCTGTACATTTGTGCCTTCTGGCCCTTTGGTTGTTGGAGGCTGGTTTCCTCTGACATTTTATAAGTAGAACTTGCTGCTACTGAGTCCATTCCAATTCATGACGACCCTTTATGACAGAGTATAATTGCCCTACAGTGTTTCAAAGGTTGAAAATATTTGTAGAAGCAAACTACCTCATCTTTCTCCCAAAGAATGGCTGGAGGGTTTGAACCTCGGCTCTTCTGTTTAGCAGCTGATCCTTAACCACTGGACAATCAGGCACCTCATCTGACTCACCCTAACAAGAAGAATTGCCCACTCGGGAATCTCTGAGACCCTTCCATAAGTGAGAAATACGCTGATGACCTGTTCGAGCTGCTTCTGTTCATCAGCTGAAGTGTCACCACAGCTTAGATGTCCCTAAACTAATATACGAGGGGGCTCCAGAAAGCTTGTGGGAATTAAAAGATAATGGGAATTTTGCATGAACTTTCTGAATCCCCCTTGTACAAGCTGAGGGAAAGACTTTTCAAAATCCACGACAGTGTGATGATCCTACAGCCCCATGCAGTTCTCTAACCTTGTTCAATAAAGAGAAAGCACCTTAGAAAATCTACGACAGACCTCTATAATCATAACAACAATAAAAGTAAGAAACAGGCATCTTACATTTCGGAAGCAGAAGGGAGGTGCTGCTTCGGCCCCATCCTGCTTGTGATAATCAGCCCAGTCAAAGTCCTGGCCAGAGTAACCTGTGAACAGCACAATGGAGAGAAAACATTCAGCTACAGCTAAGACAAATGACACTGCTTTAAGACGGGGTCAGCAATGACGATAAATATGGTGCAAGTCTACCCCAAAGGATTATGCTTTCTTTGGCCTATGAACTCTTCCCATTTCAAGAAGACCAACTGAAATAGTTTGAAAAATGCAAAGTATTAAATACATATGTAAAACACAGCATTATCATCATCACTGTATCATAAGTGAAGAGTGGACACTACAGACAAGAGCACAAGCCAATGGGTAGATCTGTTCGATGGGAAGATAGCTGAGAAGGTCTATTTCATAAAACCCATTCCCATCATCCATTTTACTGTAACAAATGTAATGCCTCATCATGCAAATTTAGAGTTCAAATGAACTTACTTCTTAGTATCTACATGGAAACCATGATCATTTTTATTGAAAATAAAACAAAAGGGAACTAATCCCTGAGTTTTCAGAAGTAACAGAAGACAAAAGTCAATGGCAAACAAGAAGTCGAGGTTTTAGGGCTCAAAGCCCTAAAGAAATAAAGGAAGAGGAAGACTATAAATTTTGCCTTAGAATAGAATTGCTGAGGTGGAAGGAAAATGAGTCGGACAGGGCTGGGCTTCTCTGGTGTTCAATTTCTGAGGCAGATTTAAGACATAACGATGGAGGTTGAGAAACAATTATTTGTAAATATGGAACTTAATTAAATGCAGGTGATCCCAAAGTGATTTTTTTCTTTTTTCCTGGCGCATGGAAGATGTAATCATATTATCTTCAGTGTGACAACCCAGGTCAAACATGGCAGGAGGTGGAGGGGCGGGACACATTTCTCAATCAAACATTAAGAACAGGGCTAGGCTGGGCATATGGCTTAATTTAGCCAAGAGAACATCTCTTAAAATGAGTATTGCTTTCATAAAGTCAAACAATTAGCAAGCATGCCATAGAAAAATAAGCGAAATGTTTACACCTTTCCTACGAACACGAGAGAAAAGGGGAAATGAAAAATGCTGTCCCAATTAAGGTGCACTGAAAACATATACAATTCATCCTCCTGTAGGGGTTTCTCATCATTGGCTTGAGGACATATCAATTCAATCTAGAGGGAATTATTTTAAGTCTATTTTGGACCCAAGTCCCCCAACTCCTTTTCTCCACCTTATCAAAAATCCCACAGCCTTATACCCATTGACTTTAAGTTGCTAAATCTCACAGTTGTGCAAAGATTATAGAAATCAATGAAGAATCTTAAGAAACGGACTCTTTTTCTGTCATTTGTAAACCCTGAGTGCAAAATGGGTATGGTTTTCATGAAGTAAGTTCAAGTTATCCCATTTTTTATTGCTATTGTTTGCATAGGACAAGAAGATATAACCATTAAGATAATCCTAGTTCTCCTGTGGTTCCAGGGACTCATCTAGACCCTTCCCTAGCCTTACAGATGTGTTCTTCTGTTATTCTAGAGAAAGACTGCAACCGGATCATTTCCTTCCAACAAGGGGATAAGAAGCCTCAGAGTTCTGAGACGCTGTACATCTTTTCAGCAGCCTGGTTGCGGCACAATGGATTCTCAGTCAGGCTGCTAACTGCAAGGCCAGCAGTTTGACTCCATGGGCGACTCCGTAGGAGAAAGATGAAGCTTTTGGCTCCTGGAAAGATCGAGAGCCTCAGAAACCCACAGGGGCAAATCCACTCTGTCCTATGGGGTCGCTGTGAGTCAGAATAGATGCCGTGGCAGTGAGGTGTTCTTGTTTTTGTGAGTGTGTTTTTAAAATAAGGTCTTTCTAGCCAGTTTTGCAACTCAAAGAAGCCATTCTTCAAGTTGTTCCACCTGCTGTCCCCCAGCCCCGTTCTCCAGAGCCACCCTTCTAGCTGAGAGACGTGGCAGCAGAGGAGTCCAGAAACAAAACAAAACAGGCTTCTTTTGAACACTTTTAAACAAATGAAAGAAAGCATGGCTTAAACAAGGCAATGCATATTTCTTTACGATGACTATCATCCGCTGCTTTGGGAGTAGGTTCTCTGGAGTGGTCTTAGCTGCCATCCTCGCATCCGTGAATAGGAAGAGAGGAATCCTCCTCAAGGAGGCCCAGGACAGCACAAAAGGTCTGCAGCCAGAGAGCCAGACCTCTGGGATTTAGACGGAGCTTTACCTGGAACTCGGGACCAAGGGTGGGGGAAAGATGAAATTCTCTGTGTCTGGCTTTCCTCATTTACAAATCCATAAAACAAAAAGATCTTTCGCGTCTACCCTCCTTGTTAACATGCTTGATTAGGCGTCATAATTACTCCTTATTTTACTGGGGCGACTCAGGAAGGTTTCCCTTTCTCCCTGGGGGATAATTCCCAGCCATCTCCAAGGAGAAAGGAGTGGCAAGTTTGAGAGTGAAGCCTTAGGCAAAAAGGCATCGCCATTGAGGATCTGACCACTGAGTGGATGAAGACAAGATAAATCCCTTGTGTGTGTGTGTGTGTATGTGTGTGTTATTATTTGAAGTGAACTTGTTTGTCACAAGACTCCAAGTCCATTTCAATGTTACTTTTCCTCCTTTTTTCTTAAGCCACTCACACTGTTTAGGTTTGAGGGCTAAGTACCATGGTTATTTTGGGGAGTAGAAGAAAAATCTCTTCAAGGCCATGATAAAGCTGAGGAGAAAAGAGTGAAAAGACTTCTCCATAGCAGTAGTTTCTCTCCCCTCCCCACCCCCCACCCTGCCATAACAGAACTGTCAGTGTCTGAACAGATATAATGTCCACCTGAGAAGTCATCCTTGTACAGAGTCAGCCACAAGAACTGGATTTTCTATGACTATCGTCATAGCAACCAGTATCCAGTGGACTTCAACCCACTCCAGAAAACTTCATGTTCTGTGCTTTCTGGCACCTTCCAAACCCAGTGCTTGAGACTCTCTACACAGAGCCATTCCTTACTTGACTGTGGCTTGGATGGAAGTTTAGAAGACACAAGTTCAACAATTTAGACCGCTGTTTTTGTCTCCTGTCACTAGTAGTTTTGCTCTCAATGTATTACCACTCTGCCCCTGTCCTCCCCTGTCTTTTCAGTATTTCTTTTCACCCATCTTTCCTGCTGGCTGAACTTTGGTTCTCCTAGAATTGCTTATTGATTCTCATGTCATTACTGTCTACTTTACAAGTCTGTCAGTGGTTGGACTGAAAGGTGATCCACACGTGTAGGTTCAAGTCTAGGTTTAAGAGGATAAGGGAGCCCTGGTGACACAGTGACTATATGTTGGCCTGCGAACCACAAGGTTGGCAGTTCGAAATCACCAGGCACCCCTTGAGAGAAAGACAAGACTTTCTACCTCTGTAAACCATCTTGGAAACTAAAAGGGGAAAGTTCTACCTTGCCCTAGAGAGTCACTAAGAGTATTGACTAATGGCAGTGAGTTAGTTAATTTATTGTGCCAACCTGGCCGATAAACACAGGTGGGGTTAACTGAAGGGCGGAGGGATAAATGGCTCAGTGAACCTCACCTTTCTAGTTTTTGCTTTCTGATGGTCAGACCAGGGTGCAGCTGCCTTAGTCAGTTTCCTGCTTTAGATTGCAAGGCTCACTTCTTGTAAGACATCCCCAAGGAGAAGCCACATGGACCTACCCTGATGGAGCCCTGGGTGCTGGAGCAGCTGTGTGGAACCCCTGCCAGGGCTGAGATGCTTACACGCTCACTGATTTGGCTTTCCTCCTGCAGTTGGCATCATAGTGTGTGTTTTGTGAGATGGAGGAGGACTTTGTGGTTTGGTGTTGGACATATGGGTTAATGTTGGACTTGTGGGCTTGGGCAGCACTGGGTTGGGATGTTTTCTTGATATGCACTTAAGCTTTATATAAAACTCTCTCTTATACATGAGTTTCTGTGGATTTGTTTCTCTAAAGTATCCAGACTAATACAGGCCATTAGTTCAGTTTTTAATGTTTTTAAGAACCATGGTCTCATGGTTTACACCAAACAGCAAGTCATTTTAAATTTAATAACATCAAGATATAATCAGGTCTTATTGGTTACCTTTGGTAAACCATAATTAATTACCTCTTGAACTCTCCCATTTCTTTGGCCATTCTAACAGTCTGGATTTCGGTTCTTTTTCACATAGAGCTCTCTGCTCACTCTATCACTTAAAATCCTACGCCTTTGGGCTGGTAATGAACTGTCTTTGTAAGGCAGTTTTGTGACAGTTCAGAAAATAACTGCTGCATAAAAACAAATTGCCGTGGATTGTATAATAGAGACAACAGGGGTCAATTATACACATTGTCATTAATCAACAAAGACAGAACAAGTACTACAGCTTAGCTGAAGCTGGGAAAACATGTTTTAATCCCAGGAGGGAAATAGTAGAGGGGAGAAGGAAATAAACGACTTTCAGAAAGAAAGAAAGCCCAAACTAAAGACTATTAAAATTTGCAAAAAGATGCCAGAGGGACTGCTGAACCACAACTACTTGAGTTACTCAAGCTTTTATTAGTGTTTATTCTGAATGATGTTCTAAGTGCAGCAGGTCCAAAGGAGACGAGGTCGATGACCCATTTCCTTATGATCTCAATTAATTGACATAAAACAGCTCCACTTGCAAACATTACTACTGGCAGTGTAAATGAACGAATTTTTTATTTAAAAAAAAAAAGCTTGGCAGTGAAAATGTTCGTGCCCTTTGACATAGCAATTTAGCTGCTGGGAATTTAGCCCATAAAAATAATTCTAAAAGCTGAAAAAAGTTTATAGATTAATATGCTTGTAATATTACAACTTTACATCCAACAGAAGGCAGTGGGATGTAAGAGACTTGTCCAAGAAAAGCCATACGGGCATGAAATTGTGCATAGTTTGTGAACAACATCACTGTGAGTTTAGATGAAAATATGGCGGCAGGCAGAATACAGAATCCTCGGGTTTAGACAAAAATATGCAAAGATAAAACACTTTTTGTAAGAAAAGTGTCACAGTAAATATAAAGATACTGTTTTAGGTGGTTGGATGTGTGGTCATTGTTTTCTGCCACTTCTTTGTATTTTTCAAGTTTTCTACCATGACCACAAATGTTTCAGGGTTACAGTCTTATAAGTAGTGCCTTATAAACTTTTGTAATTAAAAAAAATTTTTATGCACTGAACGCATGTTAAATCTTTAGAGCTGTTTTTAATTCTTAAAGAATGAAGGGAGTCGTAGTAACTAATTGCACTTCTTACAAAGAATACATCTCTTCTGTATCTCTTTCCTGGAAGTTTGCCAGTCTCTGGTTAGTTGGTGGGAAAACAAGATGAAAAGCTCCTAAATGGGAGTCACAGACACACGCCTGGAGATTTTAAGATGGTGATGAGGTACCGGCAGTGATGGGAAGGGATGTCGAGGATTTGGGGGGAGCCCCTTCAGGGGTCTCAGCATACAGACCCCAGCGTGGCAGAATTTCATCTGCAGGTCCACAGCCCGGTCTGCTGTGATTGTGCCTTCAATGGTTTTACTCTGGAGCGCCACAGGGGGATTTTCACCTCTGCGAATGTTTACACTGTTAGAGTGTGATCCTATCTTGTGTAAATAGCAAGTTTATTTAACTTTTGTTCAACCTCTTTTTAAAAGGAAAAGTGATACGATCATCTTCAGAGATCAGCAAATATGGTGACCAGATATGGGAAGGGAAGATAGGAAAACAGAAGCCACTCTGTAAGAGCAGCTTCTTAATCCTCTCCCAGAAAACCTCATGAATCATGACAGCCCCCCCACCCCGCAGTGCGCACTTGTGAAGACCTAAGGGCTCTTTTTAGGAAGGCGTCCTCGTGGTGCAGCATCTCAGTGCCAGGTGCTAACTGGAAGGTTGGCGGCTCAAAGGCACCAGCAGAAACACAAGTGAGGGCACACGACGACGCAGACGGGAGGTACAGGCCTGGCACTGGGAAGCACTCTGCTCTGTCGCAAGCATTTCCCAATGTGTTCTCGATTTGGTTCATGAAGCACGTTCTGTACACTGCACACCACGGGCTAACAGGCAGGATGGAGACAAAGAATTAATAACTGCCAAACGTGTATCTGTGACTCCACAGTTTGCTACAAAACCACAATCTCACACTTGAAACTGCCAGCCACCTCTATATTCGCAGGTGAGGCACAACTTCAGTCTTTTCTTGTACAGAGCTGGCACAGGGCAGGTGACCCTGGGCTCACAGGCGAGGAACAGAGGGATCCACTGTCTCATTCCCAACCCCCAGTAGGCTGTCCAAGCTGTGAAAATGGAAACAGACAAAGCTGGGCAACTGGGCCAGAGAAACAGCAGGGACTGTGGCTGCCTCCCCAGGTCTCAGGATGAAGGGTCAGTGGCACCAAGAGGCCAGACACCTGTGGGTACAGGGTCTAATTCTACAGTCCTGTAAGACACAGACTGAGGAGTTAGCACACGTTCATTTAGTCACTCCTTAAAACTCAGAAACACCTGGCATGTACCTGGGGGGCTGTTCTAAATCACACACACACAGAAACACCTGGTATGTACCTGGGGGGCTGTTCTAAATCATACACAGACACACACACCCTTGACCCTATGGAGTCTATCTACTTTCTGAAGGGCAGAAGACAGACAGCAGCATAAATAACAGAATCTCACTGTCATTGAGTCGATTCGGACTCATAGTAACCCAATAGGACACAGTAAAACTGCCCCTGTGGGTTTCTGAAATCTTTATGACAAGCCTCATCTTTCCCCCTCAGAGAGGCTGATGGTTTTGAACAGCAGACCTTGAAGTTAGCAGTAAAAACCCACACAAAGATCACTGGGCACAAGCTAATGCAAGACTGCCCTGCAGAGGACTTAGTTCAGTTAGACTGGATAAAACTTCCACAGAAATAGCAACCACCATGGAAAATTAGTTCACAAAACAAAATGATAACCATGACTAAACTGAACATTATTAAAGGAAACAAATTAACAGCCCAAACAGCACCAGAGTCAGATGGTTTTACAAGCTAGTTCTACCCACTTGCAAGAATCAGATACACCGGGTCTTAAATAAACTGTTCTCGGGAGGGTGCTCAGTAAGGTAGTTGTATAGACAAAAAATCAGATTCATAACAGTAAGGGAAATGAAGAGCATAAGGGGAAACAACGAAAGGTTGCTAGTTGCAAACAGGTAATACAGTAAAAAGCCAATTAAATTAATGCATAAATCCAGAGTGGTACCAATCAAGCTCCAATAATGTTCATTCAACAGCCTTACAAACTCATTCTAGAATTTCTGTAATGGCAATGGGAATACGACATGCTAATGTCCCAAGGATGGGAGGTAGCTGGCACGTTCCAGGAATAGCAGGAGGCTGGTGTGGCAGAGTGGACTAAGTAAAAGTATATAAGATGAGGTCAGACAGGGGACTGGACACCACGGTTGGGTGTTGTCGGGTGTGGCCATGATCTCAACTTGGACACTGAGTGAGGCTGGACAGCACTGGAAAGACAGACTCAGGAAGGGACTGAACTGACTTGTATGTCAGCGTGATTAATTTCACTCCAGGCATTGCAAGAAGCTGAGTGAGACATACTAGGTTGCATGGCGCAGGGAGGTCGTGGCCATGTTGACAGGTTTCCCTCCTGGGTTAGATTACCACTTTCAGACAGAAAAGAATCGAGGCTAACTCGGCATTCCGCACTGAAACCAGGCAGCACATGGCAATTTCGACTTCTCCAGATGAACAAAAGCATTACTTCAACGACAGTAAGAGCCTCCTCCCAAGACACTGGACACTGCAACATTTCACCGACTACTTACCTTTGGGAGGAGTGAGATTAACTCCATTTTTAAGGCACCATTGTACTGGCAAAATCCCCAAAGAATCTACATGGCACAGCATTGAGAGTTTACTAGGTTCTGGTCTCAGATCGTCAATAGTCACTTGGAAAAAATGATTGTTAAAAACCTGAAAGATAAAAAAAGTATTATAAATAATAGTAGTCTGTATAATGCTACCATGAGATCCTAGCAGTTTCCTAAGACAGACACTGACAGTGTCAATGCACATGACAATGTATGTTCATGGGCACATCCATTGGAGAAAAAGGTGGGCACATTTCATCACATCCATCAGGGTTCATGTGGTCCAGAACCAGAAGGTGCCATGTGGTCCAAACCAGAAGTGATGCCTAGAACCATGAAGGGACTCAGCCAAGATCATGCAGTTCCAAGCAGGCAGAAACAGAAGCTTAGGCCACATAAATCCAGCTTCCTGTCTCTAATCTACACCATAATTTCATATATGGAGAGGGTGCAAAAGACTATGTGGAAAACGGAATGGAAAGATAATGGATATTTTCCATCAACTTTTTTTAGGTTCACCCCCACCCCCCAATCTTCACTCCCATTATCATCATGTGTCAATCATTCAGGCTGTGTTTAAACACTGCAAACCTGCTCTACTGGTAAAGGTGGGTCATTTAGTACCATCTACATACTTGTCTCTAGTCTGTTTGCTTTGATGATATTTATTTATTTAACACTTGCCCCAAGAAAGAAAGCTCCGCGTGGGGAAGGAAAAATAAAACTTGCATTGGATGAGTAATGACATCACAGCTTGCCACATCCTAACATGTTTCTCAAAGTTGACAGAAATATATCTAAGTAAATATATTTCCAGTAGTAAGAATGTCTGGATCGCTTACTACAGGAAGATGTACCTTCAACCTGGGGAGATACCCGCCCAGGCTCTCAGGCAGAGAAAGGCGTTCTCAGTGGTGTTGCACTATGCAACATGTGGTCGATTTAAGGAGGAGCACTATATATAAAACAGAGTGGCTCGGATATTTTATCTTTGGAATGAAGTGTAAGGAAAAAACCAGAATGAACAGAAAATGGAGGTTAAAAAACACACACTCACAGTCTATTTAGAATAAAAACTTTTTCTGTAAAAACCAAAGGTCTATCATTGAAAGTCTATCCAGTAAGATAAAAGTATTTTGATTAAACTAATCACAATTACATTACAGTCTAACTTCATAGAGTGTCACTGTTTAAAGGCATTCTACTGTGAGATAGTCTACTGTTGACAAGCTAAACTTATCAGCGCCTCCATTAAATGTGTTTTATAAATACCAGGTAGTGCTCACATGAAGACTTTTTCAATGAGGACAATGGGATATCTAGTCTGAATAAATGGGTAGCTGGCAATATTGGATCACCTGCTGTTGGGATGAAGGAAATTCTGACCAGGCCTCCACATGGTGATCCTTCTCAAGTTTCAGGACAATGTGCTATATAACTGGCAGAGTATAAAGTAAAGATCCCCAAGGGCAATTTCAAATAAATCTTTTAATGGACGGTATATGATTTCAACCTTGAAATTATCATTCAAAGCAAGGTTTCATGCTTGTTTGTTCTCATACCTAGTAATTCTTTCATCAAATGAAGAGGATTTAACAAGGAAAAAAAAAAGAATTTGCCTTCACTAAAAAGAAGTGGAGGAAAAACTTCATTCTAAGAACAATTGGCCATATTTGATAGCAGATTACGAACACTAATTTACTCAAGCTTTATCAAATCTTCAATGAGAAAATCCAGTTTAAAACACTAATTGCTGCATTAATAAGCCTTATCTCCTTCAGAAGAAATTAAAATGGAATTAACTTTTAAACCTCTAATTCAGTTGCCCCACTAATGGGCAGAAGGCCATTAACCAAAACACACATTTGCCAAGAAAGCTGATGTGTTGATTATTCCCTACCACTGATAAGAGAACAGCTAAGGTAAGGTGAACACACACACCTCGGACTAACCCCTGGGGCCTTCACCCAGATGTCCTCAATGGGAGAGCAAATTATCTTAAAGAGTACCAGGCTGTAATAAGAATATCTGTGGAAAAAAAAAGTAATTTCACTTAAAATTCACCAATCTTAGAAGCCCTTTTTAGTCCCTGATGTTTGCTAGAAACAGACAGGCAAGGAGGTAAGTACTGGCATACTAGAGGGAGGACTTTGCTTCTCGCCACTGTCAGGTTTATTTCCAAATAAATAAACGGCACAAACTACTATCAGTGCAGTACTGCAATAGGCAACCCCAGGAGTAGTTGCATTATTTTGTTGAGGACAAACAGCAGTGTGAAAGTGACGGACCGATGGGACTATGGCTAAGAACTGTGAGGCTGGTTCATGACTGGGCAATGGTTGGTTCTGTTGTACACCGGGACGCTGTTAAGTCTGAATCAGCTGGATGGCACACAATTACGATGATGACCCAGCTAATGTAAGAAGCCCTAATGCCACAAAGGCTAAACTTGAGCTAGAAACCTAAAGGTCAGTGGTTCCAACCCACGAGCAACTCCTCCAAGGAGACAAGATCTGTGGTTAGTTCCCGTAATGAACTCGATTCTGACTCTCAGTGACCTTCCACGACAGAACAGAACTGTTCCAGAGGGATCCCAAGGCTATCACCTTCACAGAAGGAGCCCTGGTGGCACTGCCTCGTAAGACTTGACTGCTAACCAAAAGGTCCATGGTTCAAACCCACCAGCTGCTTCCTGGGAAAAGCCCAGGTTGCGTGCTCCTGTAAAGATTTACAGCCTTGGAAACCGCTGCGTCAGTATGGACTCCATGGCACTGGGGTCTTCTTTACAGAAGCGGATGGCCACTTCTTCTGTGCCAGCTGGGGGTTCCAACAATAGGCCCTCCAAAAGTCAGCCGAGTACTGAACCGCGGTGCCACGAGGGTGCCTTCATTCCACGGTGCCAGTGATAAAAAGAGAGTCTAACCTAGTGCTGTACTATTTTCAAAGGCCACCATTCTTCGGTTGCACATCCTGCCCAAGCACATTTCATTTGGCTTTGAACTGAACGACTTACTCAGTCGCGCTTGCAGGCTGGGGTGAGGCGCACCTAGGGAGCCAAGAAAACCTACCTTAGTCACTGATGCAGGACAGATATGGAAGGGCTCACTCATATTCACTGTTTCTAGCTTCATACCAACTGTGAAGAAATGGCTTCGCAGATCTGCATGATCCTGCAGGGGAAAGATTTGAAAAAACAAAGATGTATATATGTGTGTGTGCATGTTATGTGTATTGAAAGTTATGGCAGTGTAAATTAACTTGGAAACTGTCTGGCTGATATCCTTGAACATTTATTGGGCCACAGCCACAATCTGATTGAAATAATTAACCCTCCCGTTTCAAAGTTCTAATTATTGCAAGATACTGCGAATTTAATTATTTTCTGCAGGCTAAATTGCTTTTCCAAGGGAGAGAAAGCCAGCCTTTGTAGTCGTTCTTAAATTTACACTAACCCAAAAACCCTCACATTGCATGACTTTGATCTTTCTAGGTGCTATCGAGTGGGGCAGCAGCAGTGTAAGAGAGGCAATCCGTCATCCTAAACACAGGAGAAACAGCCCCAGAAAACCGAGACCTCCGGCCACCGGAGTCACTTCCCAGGGTTTCAGTGAGTCCATTGGACGCAGCACGTGTGCCTGCCTCCTTGTGCTTCAGAGCTTACAGCTTACCAATTAGGCAGGGAGCCGACGATCTGTAGACATGCATGGAAAAGCAAAACAGCTCAGCAGACCATCCACACCTGACCCTTATTCCATTAAGACCGGCAAACGCCCCCTGCTTGATAGTCGCCTGGCAGTTTTATATCCCACCCCCAGCAACTTTATGGGTGAGAGACGGAACTTGCCTCTCCTTCTTAAAAAAAAAAAAATTGTTTTTCCAATACACATTTCAGCTCTCCCGCAATAGATGAGGTTGGCCGGATGGACTCGGGATACCAGGATTTATCTTGCCTAGATGGAGGTCAAATCATAACTCACAGTCCGTATAAATAGTCGTGGATAAATAAATGTATTTGCAGCCTGTCCCTCAGGAAGTAATAGCTGCAAATAAATTCTGCTCTTTCCAAGTACATCAATTGAGTGTGAAGTCCAAAACACCTAGGGATCTATCACTCTCTGCTCGCTGCAAGTCTAAAGTGGCCTTCTAATTAATGCAGGGTTGTCATTCGACATCCAACTCTGAGGATGTCACACAGCCCGGCTACAGAGCGTCCACTTCCCCCACAAAAGCCGGCCAATACACTCGGGGCCCAGCACGGGGGATGCCCACTGCGGGGACAGGGAAGGGACGACGACTATAAAATTCTCCAACACTCCATTGCCTTGCCACAAAGGTACAGAATATATAAGCCGAGAGAACCGCAAGGACTCTTTCATTTTTCATCTCCGCGATGGTGGCTTTGACTGAAGCCAAGAAGGCCACACCCAGGGAGGGTGGACTAGCAGAGGGAGAAGGGATGTGGTCCGTGACAAAACCCATCGGGAGAACTGGCCAAGCCGGAGCCTTTGTACATTATAAATTCCTAGAGAATTGATAAGGAAACACTTACAGGCCTAAAGAAAAGCTTACGGAAGTATCTTGGGTGGAGGTGAGGAGTCGTATGTTGTTTATAAAGGTGCATGGGGAAGACGAGTCAGAAAAGAAATTTTTTAAAAACTTACATCGCATTAGTGCACATTAACACGTACTGATCATAAATCCAAGAAAACCTTTCTACTACACGCCCACGGAGCTGTAAAGTACAAGTATGGAGAGCCCAGACCGGCACAGAAAATGACTGATTCACACCCGCAGCACAAGAAGAAAAGAGAGTGGAGGAGGGGGCGGGTGCACTCGTGGGTTTGCCAGATACCTTTTTTCTCCTCTTAAGCGCAAAACTTGAACCTTTGGCAAAGAGGCATTATTCTAGAATGATAATGTGCTTCCTCTGCTTTGCCTGAATGTAGTCAGCCCGTTGAAGCGGCCACTGTGATACAGTTCTGCCACACAGAAATGCCCACAGGCCCTGATGGCACATGAGTTACTACCAAGATGGTCCCAGAGCAGGTAACGGAATATTCCCGCAGAACTTCTTCTGTGTTCCTCTCTTCCATCAGCTTCCCCCTTCCTCGCTGCAGCATTTGCTCACTTCTACCCACAGCTTTAAGGCTAAAGGTTTTGTGGTTGACTTTGGTCCACCAGTAATAGGAAACAGGTATTCCTTGGCTGCTGCTAGCACCAGGGTTCTGGGAGCTTCCATCTCTCGCCTCTTCTCCTTTCTGCGAATCCTTTTGAGTTTCGTGGTGAAGAAACTACCTTCTGTCCGGCTTTTGATGCCATCATTAATTACCTCGACGCCGGGCTGTGTGCCCACTCTCTGTCCCATACTTGCCCCAACCTATCTCTGAGGAGAGTCCGGGTTTCTAAGAAGGGCTGACTTGTGACTTTGAGGTCTATTTTAAATGCCAGGTTCGCAGCTGATCCTGACCACTGACTCGCACATCTTGAATCAAGTCCACACCCGGTGCTCCATGACAGGTCCCCGTGGTGTGCGGGGACCCTGCACTAGCAGCTGTCCCTTACCTGTGGCTTCATCTTAGTCCTGATTGTGTAGTGAAGAGTGACGGCCTTTCCTTGGAAAAGAAGCATAAAAGCTGAGGACAGCAAGCTGCTCCTCCGATAACCTTCTCCCAGGAGGGCAGAGCACGGCACTCCGAAGCGCAGTGTTAACGATGCAAGGGTGTTCCGCCTTGGCTGATTGCGTCAAACTCCGTTCCCAGGGGAAGAGGGGATCAGCTCACCTGTGTACATTTTCCACATCGTTCCCCCTTTCCAGAAGGGGTGCTGCGCTCTCCCGACAGTCCATGAACTTGTCTGTTCACACCCTGTTCATCTGTAACCTTGAAATGGAGGCCAGAATCACAAGTGGCCACTGGTGGGAGAAAAACTTAAAAACATCCAGACATTCAAGGCTGAGACCAAGCTTCCTCTCTGCCAGTCAGGCCTCAGATCGCCAAGATCTTAAATCGCTCCTACTAGGTGTTAGTGGCACAAGCACACGCGTGTGGAAATGGCTGCTTTCATTTTAAAGTGTGCAAAACCCTTTCGCCCTCTTGTTGAATAGGCTGAGGGGAAAGGAAAAGCCAGGCATGTTGAGGAGTCGCTGCCTCCTATCTGAGGTAGTTAGTTGATTGTACCAACCTGGCCAATAAACACACGTGGGGTTAATTGAAGGGCAGAGGGATGAATGGCTGGGTGAGCCTCCCTTTTCTAGTTCTCAGGTCTCTTGCTTTCTGATGGTCGGACCAGGGTGCAGCTGCCTTAGCCAGTTCCCTGCTTCACTTGGTAAGGCTCACTGCCTGCAAGACATTCCTGAGGAGAAGCCACATGGACCTACCCCGATGCAGCCCTAGGTGCTGGCGCAGCTGCGTGGAGACCCCTGCCAGCGCTGAGATGCTTACACGTTCACTGACTCGGCTTTCCTCCTGCCGCCCTGCCAGCGCTGAGATGCTTACACGTTCACTGACTCGGCTTTCCTCCTGCCGTCAGCATCACTGTGTGTGTTTTGTGAGGTGGAGGAGGACTTTGTGGGTCGGTGTTGGACGTACGGGCTAATGTTGGACTTGTGGGCTTGGGCAGCACTGGGTTGGGATGTTTTCTTGATGCGCACTTCACCTTTATATAAAACTCTCTCTTATACTTGAGTGTCTGTGGATTTGTTTCTCTAATGCACCAACTAATACATATGGTACCAGGTGAAGTGTTGAAGAGGGAAAAGAAATGCCAGGCATTCTGAGGAGTCACTGCCTCCCCATCCAAGCATTTACAGTCTGGTCTCAAGTACCCACACCCTAGCTACCAAATGTGAACTCTCGATTTCAGAAACGAATCTGGAAACTATAAAATACACTTCTGCAGACAGGGATGGAGCGGCCTGGGTGCCCCTTACACCTTTAGATTTTCAGTGTGGCCATGAGGTGCCAATGGGAATGGGTACCAGAAGTTCAAAAACAAGCAATCAAATGGATATGAAGGAGTGTAGGCAAAGAGGAGACCCAAAACCCACCTGTAGGACAACTGAACAGTCCCTCACAGAAGGACCACAGGAAAATGATGATGATAAATTCAGGGTGCAGTATATATAGCATTGATGAAACACATGACTATCCTCTAGTTCTTTAATATTTCCTTTCCTTACTATTATGGCCTTAGTTTTACCTCATTAATCTTGTTAGACCTGTGTAGGGCTCATTTGCACAATTAAGATCATTCAATGCATGGAAGCCAAGACAAATAACCCTTCAGAAACAGTAATGGGAGTAATGTCTCCCTGAGGATGCGGGAAGGGGAGTGGGGAAAGCTGATAGCAAGGATGATTGTATAACCCCACACAAGGGGAGCAAACAACAGAATTATAGCTGCATGGATTTATTAGATGGGGTAAGATACGGCAAAAATAACAACAACAATAATAATAGCAATAGGGTTCCTGGGGGATTGGATGGGGGATGGAGGGGATATAGGGGAACTGATATCAAGGAGTTCAAGAAGAAAGAAAATGTTTGTAAACTGATTGTGGTACCAATTGTACAACTATGCTTGACCTAATTGAATTATGGATCATCATGCTATCTGTACAAGCTCCCTAAAAAAGGACTAATAATTAAAAAAAAATAAACTTCTATAGCCTCAATTTCACTTCTTTCAAATCACTTTTCACTAGCATTTAATAAAATAAAAAAAAACCTGTGACTATGCAGAAATCCCCCCTGTTCATAAGTAAATCAATGTAATGGAAATATAAAAGATTTAGGAGCACAGATACACAATGATTAGAGTATCTGCTATTCATGTTTATGCCATTCATGGCTAATGTCAGAAATATTGTAGTACCCAAAAAACCCATAATAACTCACTGCCATCAGCTCAATTCCGACTCACCCACGGTAGGGTAATCCTTTACGAGGGTAAAAAGTCACATCTTTTTCCCACAGAGCAGCTAGAATTTTTGAACTGCTGGCCTTGTGGTTAGCAGCCCAACACATAATCACTACACACCAGGGCTCTTATTTTCTAATTGGTTTGCCATGGAAACCCTGGGTCACGGTAGAACTTTTAAAAGCTATGACCAGTTACGTTGGCTATATAATACCTTCAAGTGAGCATCAAACTCTCTTATCAAGAAAAAAAT